CCAATATAATTTAAAAAGTAATATTACTGATATATTTGCTATAAATCACATAACAGTATTTATTAAAAGAAACGAAATATTAATATATATTCTCAGTAGTTTTAATTTGCTAAACCAGGTAGTTTTTCAAAAAGTAATTGTGTCTTTAGTGAACTGAGGAAAAATATAATTTCCAGCTTTATTTTTGCAATTGGTAATTTTTTTTCACTAACTGTTAAGTATCAATGTAATCATTTTTATAATAATAGATTAGTGCACAGTTGTATGTCAACACATTATTTATTACCTTAAACTGTCTGGAATTTATTATTAAAGGGTTGCGCTTGCGTTAAATTTACTATCGTGGAAATTCAGCTTTTTTGCGTTTTGGCTAATCTCATCCCTGCTGTAATATATAACTTAAGTTTCCTATGCCTCATACCATAATAATAATTTGAATGTTTTGTCGAGGTATAAAAGTGTTTACATTTATTTATAATAATCGTTATTACAAATATTTTCTTAAGTAGTTCTATTTAATAAGTTGAATTTGCTTGAATCCTCCTTCCTTGACCTGGGCAATGATTTGTCAGAGTTTGGAAACTTATTTTTCTCTATATATTTTGTAGCTTCCTTACTTTTTTTACTTTGTTCTTGTTTAGAAGTCTAAACATGTATATTTATCCTAACAAAACATACTGTATCAACAAAACACTGTTATTATACTGTATAACATAGCATTCATTAAAAAAAATTTTTTTTCATTTATTCAAAGTTTTATTTGTGTATAGATCACATGACTTTAATAAAACTTGATGTTGAAAGTGATGAGTCTCTTGAACCTGTTGCACCACCTCAAGGGTATGTAATGGGATCACACCCTGATTCTATATTAAGTGACAGGTGTAGTCTGTCAGAAATTACACCTCCTCGTCAGTTTTGCTCACCATCAATTGATGAAAGTTTATATGATGTACCACCACCTCCAAAGTTAGTTAACAAAAATACGTCGAGGTAATTTATTATATTTTTTCATTGGTTTTCTTTGAAGTAATGGTAGCATATCCATGATTAAAATATTTTACAACCATGACTTATGATTAAATTTTATAATACAGTAGAAAGTCGCGTATCCGGAATCGGCGGGACTTTCCGAAGTCCTATATTTGATTTTTTCGTATAATTGACCTCCAAGGTAAACAAAGCTTAAAATGATCTGAATCTAAGAAGCAGAAAATAAATAAACATTATTTTTCGGGCAATAATGTTTTAGTATTAGAATGATATCTAATCAGTCATAAACAAAATATTAGAAAAAAAATAATTATTGCTCTTCTAAAAATAAATATAGAAAACGAAAAAAATTCCCAGTTATGAAAATATTAATTGTTCTCTCCACCATTTTGAACTAGAACGAGTCAAGCAAGAAGGGGAAATTCCCGTCATTCAATAAGGTGGTTAGGTGGAGAAGAAAAATTCATTTCCTCCTTACTTGTCATTCAAGTTGAGGGCGGGGTAGTGACAAATTCTTATTTTCTCTCCCATCATTGGCTATCAATCAAGCATAAAGGCGTGGCATGCTAATTGGATTCTCTTTATTTTTTCTTGTGTGACTAAAGGGGATCCCCCTCCACTTTAACATTCAAAAAGGTTCCAGGAAATGCCTCTTTTACTAGCCAGCTGCATAGGAAAAAAGGGGGAGGGAGGGGACTCAGTTGTGCTCTTTTGCAAACAACCCCCCCCCTTTCCTGCATTCCAGAGGAGGAGTGTCATGGTCTTAGTAGATCTTCTGTTCTCTCTTCTGTTGATTTATGGGTTCAATGATCTCTAGAAGCTGAGAAGGGGAAAAACCTGTCAAAAGACTTTGTTTTTTTTTTTAAAAGGAGAGGGGAAGATAAAGAAATGTTTGTTTATTTTGATTGTTAAAAAGTGTCCGGGAAATCGACCCTTCCGGAAAAGGGACGTCCGGATATGGGACGTTACACTGTACATTAAAATTTGTTTATTTATTATTATTTTTTCTTCAGAAATGCTATATGTAATTAAAAATCATTATTTATTTTCATTTTCACTTATGGTCTTTTATGAAGCTTAATTTTATGAAAACAATATAAAGGATAAACATTTATAATTATTCTGACTATGTATTGTAATGTGAAAACTAATATCTTTTTTTCCTGTTTCGGTTTCTAATTTGTATTGTTAATAAATAAATATATTTGTGGAACTTCTTTCTTACAAAGATAAGTGCAAAATAACTCCCAATTTAATACAACTCCAACAGAGATAACTCCAATTTTAAAAACTTACCATTTAGCTCTTAATTATTATGATGTATAGACATTTAATTTTACATCTGACAATTTTACACTAATGATGTTTTATAAATATATTTTCAATTACAAACAATTTGTAATTATTTATTTTTGTGCGAGTTGTGATAAATTGTTTATATATGATCTTCTGATTACTTATTTCTGTGTATATTTGTGTATTGTGGTTTTGTCTTCAAATTTGAAAAATGCTTTTGCATTTTAGGCAGTTATATATATCTTGCTTAAACTATTTCTCTGTTAAAATGATCATTTAAAAAATGTGAAATAGAAAGTAACAATGTTAAAGCATTACATGCATCATTTTTTTTTCAATAAATTTGTAATTTCCAATTTTAAATATAATAGTTTTTAATTATCTCAAATAAATAATACTCTTTTTTTTAAGGGAATCAAATAATACATAAAGATTAAAAAAGAAATTAGCGATTGGCTGTCAGTGAAAAAATATGAATGAACTTTTACACATGCTATTTAAATATTTCTTTATTGTTTGCAAAATTATTATTTTTTTAAGTAATAAATTTTAATTTTTCTTTGTTTTTATTTTAAAAAAACAATTGAAACTTTAGATCTTTCCATAGAAAAATATGTAAATTAATATGGTATGAAAATTTTATGTTTCCTAATTCATTTTTTTTCATCTAATATTAAACAATAAAAAGCAATAAATAATTATTAAACATTATTGTTTGCTTGAAATTATTTTTGGGTAAACTGGTTTCATGAGTGGGTGTAATTTTTTTTTGAAATTGCGCAGTTAGTTTTAAAGATGTGACCAAAAACTCAAAAAGGGAAGTTAGCATCCAGGGGACTAAATTTTTATCTGCTCTCCTCACTAAAGTATTAGGGTTACGATTTCCAGATTGTGGCTACCTCCCATATTTTAAAGGTTAAGAATCCAAATATGTAAAAAAATGCATATTTATTCACGTGAAGTACATTTTTTTGTCTGATTTCGTAATTTAATTAATAATTAGCATGAATTAGTTAGTATATTTGAGGTCATCCCTGAAACCATTAAGATTGACACAGTATGGTAAAATTTGATCATTAAAACGCAAGTTATTCAGGATATCTTTTATTTTACACACTGTACAATGATTCATTTTAAGAGAAATTTTTTCTCTACTCCCGGTTCCTAAACAATCTATGGTACCAATTCTCAAATTTAATCTGGAAAATAATAAAGTCTTTCCAATAAATGTGCCAATTAAAGGAGTCATTAATATATAAAATTTTCTCCACAATTCTATTCAAGCACTACTCTGCTAATTTATTTTAATATTAAAAAAGTTAAAGTTGGACGTGGAATTCTGCTTTTTTTTCCCAATTTTTAAATTTTTGACAATTCTCCAAGAATGTAATTTTTTGGGGGCTAATTATTACAGACCTCATAACTGCCGAAACCCAAGCCTCTTGAACAATAGTCATACTTGGGACGAACTTTAACTTTTCCCCCTTGCAGTAGCCTCCTGAGAAAGAATAATCATCAGGAGAAAATGGGTGAAGCTTCAGCAGGTGAGCATTTGCCTTGACAACCCCGACTTCCGCTGTGGAGCGGAAAAGATGAGGTTCTTGTTCGCTGAGTTTTGAGCAGCTTTGTTTCAATCCAATATTTAATCCAGGGTTTTCCTCATTGGTGCAACATGTATTGAATTTGCACATTGGTACATCATTCTCTCAACTCCGCTAGTTCTTATATTTGGCCATTCCTGTGCTTGTCTGTGCACATATTTGTTTTTTGTTTACTTGTGTCCTTTTCACATGGTTTTTGGTAGATGAATGTAGTTTAACAATGGAAGACAATGTGATAGATAAAAACAAAGTGCTTACGACTGATGCTGCTGAAAAAAATTAACTCAAGTTTGATTAGTTAAATAAAACAGTCAAAGTGACTACAACTGTTAGTAACAGTCTATCAGAAGATATTGAGGTGAAAGTTAGAGACTTCAATTTAAAATGATTGACTGGCAATTAATTTAAAAGGATGATTATTAAGCCTTAAATATTGCTTAATTTTCTTTAATAAGGTAGTGGTGAACGAAATATATTTAAGAAAAATTTAAATTTCACTGTTTCTACAACTTTTAATATAAAATAAAAAATCTCTTGGCAAAGTTAGAAGTTTTGTTTTTATTCATCTTATTGATATCACAGTATTACATAGAACACCCTCCTGTTTCATGCCTCCCACTTTCATGATTGTAATTAGAACTCACTGCTTCTAAAACTTCTAATATAAAATAAAAAATCTCCCGGCTAAGTTAGAAGTTTTGTTTTTATTTATCTTATTGATATCACAGTATTACAGAGAACACCCTGTTTCATGCCTCCCACTTTCATGACTGTAATTAGGACTGATCAAATACTTGCACCAAGGAAAAGCAATAATGTAATTTGATACTCAGAATTATTTTAAATTCTTCTTCAGCTAGTAATAAAGAGAAATTGAAAAAAAAAAAAAATAAGAGTAATGAGGTGAAACTGTGTACCTTGATTCTGGTGAAATTAGGTCTGCTTTTTAGTATGTGAATACTTAATTTTAGTGTACCTTAACACTAAAAATTGGGGTAATTAATTTGCACCAAAGTAGTGTTCCACTACACCAAGGACCAAGGCTATTCTTTAACACTACTTAGTGTATAATAGTCGCCACCATTTTTGTTATTCAGTTAGTCTAAGATTTATAATTACTGTAAGATAGGATGCAGTAATAGTCAGTAAAGCTATTTTCCTGGTACAATATAAAGGAAGTCATTTATTTAGGATACCTATCTATACTGATTTTTAAAATAAAATTTGTTTATTAATCAATTTACACACAGCACAAGAGAATATTAATATGAATTCGAACTAGGCTTAATAAAACCTGAGTGAATAGAATTTAAATATTGTAAAATTATTTAATACAATTGACAGATTTATGTAAGTATTAAGAATTATTGTTTCATTTTCTGCTCTGAATTGATGGCCATTTACATGGCACTAGAGTTTCTGAGCGACATTTGACCGAAGAAATCAGGATGAAACATCTACTAAATTGGGGACCAAAACGGAATTATAATTATTGAAAAACTCAGGGCCCTATCTGGTTCTTTTATACTTCATCTGCTATGGATTCCATCCCATGTGAATTTTAAATAGAATGATACTGCTGATGGCCTAGCAAAAGAGGACACTTCCAATATTCAGGCTAATTCAGAACCTCTGATGATCCTTGAGCTGTACTTGAAAAACAAGGCTTCTATAAACACCTTTTGGAAACCACATCCATAATATCTTAGTGGGAGTCATAAAGCTTTAAAGGTGACCATAGAGATCACTCTGCTTTAACTTAACTATACACTGGACTGGACTCAATTGTCTACTGGACATTTTCTCATATTGCAAAGAAATTTCCAGTTTGCACTAATTGTAGTAAAGCAGAAGCTGCTTTGCAATGTCTGATTAACTGTGTTAACTTAGTATACGAGGACCTTCTGAAGAGACTTATGCACGTTTTGGAGATATTTAAAGTTAACGAACTCATGGATCTGATTCATATCAGAGGAATGAGTGTCATAAAATATTATGAGAAACATAAATATCTTTATTATACAACTAAAAGCATGCATATCTTTGATAATGGTTTACTCATAGTTTGTCATATCACCCCAGCAAGAAGATTGAAGTTACTTGGCAAATAATTGACCGCAATCAATATTCTTGATCAATCAGTAAAGCGGATTGAAACTTGGTAATAAATAGGCTATCTTAGCTATCTTTAACTAATCTTACCCCTCTTCCCTTATGTATATATATCTGTATATTTCACGTTAGTTTATAATTTTACCTTTGTAAATCTTCTAGCACATTTTTTCCCAACAGGAATATTACGCATCTCAGGGGTACATCATAAATTATTTTTTGTATGCCTGGCATATTTAAGGTCATGTGAAAATGGAGTCATTCCTTTTCTCAAATTTTATTATTTGAACCTTTATTTTAAAAAAATGGAAAACTTTAAAACTAAGGCAACAGTTACACTGATGTGTTTTCTTTTTTTAATATATATGGAGGTTTAGACCGAAAAGAAAATTTTTTATTGGTGAACTCATAGTTAAAATTTGTCTTTAATGATAACTAAGGTGTCATTACTGAGGTGTAAGTTTTTTTTCAGCACCTCATCACTAAATGGTGCTGAAATAACTATTTAACTGTAAGACTATATCTTCTTTGGTTTTATATAAGAGAAATTATTACATTTTGCTATTTTTATTCCGAAATCATGTATAGCATATTCGTTGTTTGTCATTAGCAAGTTTATTATGACTGAAATAAATAATTAATAAATTTAAATTTGCTGAAAAATTTATTAAAAGTTTGGGGTTATATTAAGAATAAATATTGAATAGCTTTTATTTGTTGTAATTAAACTTTCTTTATTATCTATATAAGTCTTTCAAACTATTCTCTTGGATTTAGCAATAAAATAACTTCATATGAAATAAATTTAAACAGATTTTAAATTGCATTGTCAGTGGATGCTCTACAGTAATGCTTTCAATTTTCGACATTAATTAAATATATAACAGAATCTCTGTGCTATTTAGATTTGGGATTTTCATAAAAATATTCAATTCTGGAGTTAATGCCAATAACTGTCACTTTTTTAAAGTTCTTAACTTTTCTTGATTTTGTTCATTAATATACTAAGTATAATTTTAATATGGACCTAAACCTATATAATCTCAAAACCTACTATATATTTTATTCATATTTATGAGTTAATTGCAACTAATTGAATTAAATATTGTTTCATTTTAGAGTAAATGACAGCTTGGATTCTCTTACTGCTTCACATTCTCAAGATTCTTGCTTTGATCAAACTTCCTGTAGTAGCTGTAGTCCATCTAAATGTGATTCATCTGTTTATGAAAACAATATTTATCAAAATGTTGATTCTGATAGTCTTCTATATGAAATTCCACCTCCACCATCTTTTTTTGCTACAAAGCGATTTTCTGATCCATTGCAGCAGTGCTCTATATATCAGAATGAAGAAAAAGGTGAATTTATATTTTTAAAGAGAACTAGGTATAGAGAGAACATAAAAAGCAATGAGGACTCTGCAATAAATGAAACAGAAACAAGAAATTCCAAAAAAGAATTGCACAGGGTTCCCACGGTCCTTAAAAGTCCTTAAAAACTGCTTAGTTTTTATTTTGAAAATTAAGGGCCCTTAAAAGTACTTAATTTTGNCGGAACGATCGGGTCCATCGCTATTCCGGATAACTGATTTTTCCGGTTTTCTGAATCGCTACTAAAAGCCGTTTTTTTTATTGTTAAACCCAACTAAAAAAAAAAATTGGAAATTATCTTAAAACGAAGTAATACACTAATGATTATTTCCAAAATGATGGTAAGGTAAACATCTTTCAAAATAGAAAGAAAAATCCTAAAATCATGAGGAAAAAAAATTTTTTTTGTTGAAAATGGCGGGGAAATGTATCGAATTTCATTCCGGTTTTTTGGTTTTCCGGTTTTCTGATTTCCGGATAACGGGCTCTGTACAGTGCTAAGTTATTTTTGAATATTGCTATCATGGTTTTGATTAATTTTTTAAAGTTATTATAGGTGGAGAACCAATTTCTTTCAAAATTTGTGTTTTAGTTTTAAAAAAAATTGCATAAGCTAGCATGATGTCTTTTTTTGAATTTTTAAGCTCTAAATTTTTTGTATCTTTTCTTTTTCATATTATATTGGCAAAGTTACTTGTACTCAAGTTTTCTAAAAAAATTTTGAAAATAAGTTATGATACTTTTTTACACTTCATCTGTCAGAGTGTTTGCATTTGCCATTATACTAAAGTTAAATCATTACTTTAAAAACAAAGACTACCATTTAAAGAGAAATTATACAATAAATATGTACATACTAAATGCACAATTATCATGTTTGGTCAGTAATATTCATAGCACTTTTCATGTTTATTTATCATTCAGTTTAAGCAGTCAGTATTAAACAGAAAATAATTAAGTTGAAAGAAAACTAGTGAATTTTATAAAATTAACACTTTTAATTTTGTGTTCATTTATAAATAAGTTTAAAATGTTTCAAACCTTTAATTTAAAGTAGTATATAAACCTAATTGGAATTTTTCAGATATATTTGATACATCTGAAGTTACAGCTTGGAGATTACAAAACAGCTATATTCCAATGCTACCGTCTAATTCCTGCAGTAACCGTCCTCGGGTATTGCTGTTTTTATACATCCTTTTATATATTTGAATAACCTCTATTATTTGAACCTTTCCTCATTTTACCTCTGTTAACCTAAATCATTTCCAAGTTTTTTAATAAACACATTTGATTTATTTTTCCATATTATAGTCTAAGAGCCTTTTTTGTTATGTAACACTAACTTCATATGTATTTTCTCACTCACAAGGAGGAATGGTCCATTTATCATAACGCTTATCTGTTGTAAATAGCCCAGACAACATTCCTACTCATTCTATTTTAAAATCACCTCCATAATCTTAATATGGCCTCTTCTTCCGTTAACCACAATTTTTTTGAATCATTCCAATCTCCTATGTTTATCACTTTTTGATAATTTTATGGCAATGAATTTTATTTGGAAGATAAGGGAAAAAATTATTTTTGTTAAATTTCTTCTGGAGGGCTAGAGAAGGAAAAAGCTCTTCACCATAAGAAGTTCCTTATGGACTTGCAGCAATGAAAAAGATTTCAAGGGTTTTTACTTCCCTAAGTTGTTTTAAAAAAAATCATTAAAATTATTGTTTTTTTTCTATTATTCTAAGCTTTCTTTGTAATAATTCTTTCCATACTTTTTGCAATAATTCTATCCATGCCTTTTTGCAATCATTCTCTATTCTTTTGCAATCATTCTCTTGCATCTTATTAAAGCTTCTAATTCCCTTTTTACTCCTGACTCACCTACATTTAATATAAATGTATTGCTATGATTTTGGCTAAAAGCAGGTGAATAAAAAAGATCCTTTTTTCTATAGTAGAAAAAAAAACGTGTGAAACTTCTTTGTATTTGCAAAGTATGTTGTTAAAGCTTTTAAAATATGATTCTGAAATTACGTATGATTTTTAAATAGCATATGTACTAGATAGTCAACAGTCTTGAGACAACACTTCTTTTATTGCATTTATTTTCTAAAAGTGAAACTATTAAAAATGATCTAACTAACTCCCTGGTATTACAGTCCATGTTGGACCATGCCTCACTAACAATTTTCCTCCAAAGTTGCCTGTCTCTAGCTCTTTGTTTCCAGTTTCGGACTTTCAGAGTCTTAAAGTCTTTTTTCACCTCGTCTAACCATCTCTTGGCCGGTCTTCCTTTTTTCCTTTGGTCCTGGCACTGTCCCTTCAATATCTTCTTAGTGCCTCTGTTTTCCTCCATTCTCTCAAGGTGTCCTAGCCATTGAATTCTCTTTGCTTTAATATAATTTATTATATCTTTTTCGCTTTAATATAATTTATTATATCTTTTTCTTTAAATAGTCTTGCAATTTCAAAATTGTATCGCTTTCTCCACAGATCACCCTCTTTGACTGGTTCAAAAATAGTTCTAAGAATTTTTCTTTCCCAGGTAATCAGCATTTTTTTCTTGTTTCTGGGTTGGAGTCCATGTCTCTGATCCATAGATAACGGTTGGTCTGATTATAGTTTTATAAACCTGAAGCTTTGTTTTCCTCATTATTACTTTTGATGTTAGCAATCTCTTAAATGCAAAATAACTGCGATTTCCAGCATTTAGTCTTTACTTAATCTCTGGCATAATATCATTGTTGCTGAGTTTATAATAATATTCTTGCATGTTTCCCACTTCTCTTCCACTGAAAAATTCTCTGTATTCCCTAGGTACTCATCATCAATCTTCGCATCCAATGCTCTGCCATAGCTATCTTATTTTTTAGTTTCTTTACGCATAATTTCTTCTGCTTTTTTCCCTTGCTGTTTCAGGTCTTTAATATTCTCTGTCTATATTTCATAACAACCAAAAAGTGATCACTATCACAATCTGCTTCCCTGTAGCTTCTGACGTCCATAACATCCGAGGCATGTTTTTTATCAATTAAAACGTGATCGATTTGATTTTTTGTTTCCCCGTCCGGGGAAGGATTCTGTTTCCTTATGAATCCTCTTATGATCAAAACATGTACTTCTAATAATCATATTGTTGCTAGTGGCAAAATCTACCATTCTTACTCCATTTTCGTTGCTGGTTTCATGCAGGCTAAAGCAGCCTGTAGTTGGTCTAAACCAGGGTTCTCTTCCAATTTTAGCATTTAAGTCTCCTAACACTATCTTTACATCATATCTTGGTACCTTTGAAATTTCCTTATTGAGATCTTCATATAACTCATTTTTTTGTTCTTCCTCAGCATCTTCGGTAGGAGCATGTACACTAAACAAGATAATGTTGAAGAATTTAGCTCTCAACCTTAATATACAAATTCTTTCATTAACTGCTCTAAAATCAATTACTTCACTCTTTACTTCTTTTCTCACAATGAATCCCGTGCCGTGAGAGTTTCTAGGTGAGCTGGAACTGTTGAAAATAGTATTTCCTAGATCAGTAATATTGCTCCCTTTCCATCTGACCTCTTGAATTGCCAAAATATCCAATCTATATTTATAGCTGCAGATTTAATAAAATTTGGATATTAATAAAATTTGGATATTATTAAAATATAGTTGTTATATATCATTATTCAAAATAGATAGAAATTATTCAACTTAATGGTAACTTGACTCATGAAATTATAATTAAAATATATGTTTGCTAATTTATCAACAGCCTAAATGATGTTTAATCATGGACTTAAAACAAAATTACCTTTATCTTATAAAGTGTTGAATCCTGAAATATTTAGTAAAGTAAGACAAAAGCTAATTTTCACACATTTAGATAGTGAAAATGGAATAAGACCTTATGTACCATGTTCACTTTTCTAATATTAATTGTAATATTGGAACAATATTGGAATCAGTCTTTCAGTAGAAGATCAGTGTATTGAAATCTTTATGTGTACTTATACATACATCAGTTAAAACCCAAGAAGGGCATAATTCTGTAAAAGTGCTTATTGTAACATTTAATGTGCATTGTTACATTTACTACTCATGTTGTAGTTGGTTCGATTTCTGTATTTTGTCTCTACATAGGTTTTTGCCATATGTTGTTAATGTGTTTTATAGTTAATAAATATTTTGTGATCACATTTTAAGTATGTTACTATTTTCTTACACATTACAAGATCATAGTAGGATTGACATAATTGAAACTAGTTTCTGAATTTAAAATTTTGTGGTAGGATCAATTAGATTACTTTTCTGTCTGAAAAGAGCAAACTACAACACGAAAAATTTAAAGTGAATATTATTTTTTGAAACTAATGCATCAATAGGTTTTTAATTGTACAGTCATGAGTTATATAGACTATTTTGTCTCTTTTTATAGAGATTTTGTTTATGATGCTTATTTTTTATGGGCAACACTGACAACAAGATTGACAAAATGTCAGCTCGTGCTTTTTAAAACAAACCTGTGAGCAAACTGGGGACTCATAAAGCTCTCTATTCAAAACTTAATTTAATTTAAAATCTTAATGACACCTTTCATCTTGTTTTTGATGCATAGTCATCTTTCTTTATTACCTTTGAATGTTTATTTTCCATGCTTAGTGCTTACTACAATGTATTATTCCATGCAGCTGCTTCAATGATATAGTTTTATTATTTAATATTTAACCTTCAATAAAAATTTAATGGTATATTCTTTTTCTAGGCTCCTGCCAAGCCTCCTCGAAAATCAGTCAGTCCACATTCTTCCGAATCAAAATCATCCCAAAGAAGTAGTTATGAATTTTTGTGTTTAGCATCTAGTGGGATGCATGAATGCTCACCAAAGTTCCTTGATAAAAACAAAAATAATTCAAAACTTTTAAATTATTCAAATTCTTACCATAAATCAGATTATGTAGACATGGCCAACAGAGCCATTACAACTTATGAAAATCACAATATTATATGTGCCAATGGACTTGACTTTCAGACAAAAGCACCTGATAAAGAAGATTATAATTATTCGTCGTCCATTAATAAATTTTCTGAAATATTACCTTTAAAATTATTCAGTGATGATTTGAGCAAGAAAGGAAACTCTTTCAACAATCTAATGCCATCTAAAAGTACGCCTGCTCTTCATGCATCACGGCATACTTTAGATCAAGTAGTTCCTACAATTACTAAAGAACTTAGTTTTCAAAAACCAAACTTCCTAAATATTCCTAATAAAATAGTTGAAATTCCTACTAATTATGAGCAACCTCCTACGCCTGATAATCCTCCACCATCTCCAGGGACTGCTGAAATTGGAATTCATGAAAAAATTCATCCTACTGGTCAGGTAAGCAGTATTGCTATTTTCATTAATCCTGTTTTAGATGAAAATACCTAGGGTAGTTTCTAGGTCTTGTCATAACATACTGAACAACAATACATAGTCTTGTCATAACATACTGAAATAATTAAGATTCATATTGGAATTCAGTTTTTCTACCACAAACAATTAACAATAACAAGTATCAGGTACAGTAATGCATGCTCAATATACATTTTATGGTGTATATGCACAAAGCCAATCAAATATCTCATGAACTTTTTTACTGAACCAAAAAAGCCTGATTTTTTTTTTTTTTTTTTTGAAATCTGTCTTTATCTTTAAGTTGTTTTTACCTTTTCATTTTAGTCATATCTCTTAAACTATTTCATGCAAAAAATGATCTTCAATAATTTTTTATTGTTGAATTTTAAAAAAAATTAGAAGAAAAATAATAAATTAATGGAATTCTTATCAAGATTTTGATTATTATTAAATGAAATAAGTTATTGGAAAAATTAAAATAAATGTGTCTCTTTTTTAAAGCATTTTTTTCAACATATAAGGATAGTATTTAAGTAGAAATCAATAAAAAATTCTAAGAGTTATGATCAATAAGTTTTTCAGTTACATCACTGAAGATTATGTTAGAATGCAGTTCTTTCTCCCCCAAACATCTAACAATAACAAATATAAAGCACAGCAATGCATGCACAAAGCCAGTAAAATATCTCATGAACTTTTTCACTTACTGTAAAAAGGCAGTTTCCAGAAATTGCTCCAAAGTGCTAGATTCTCGGTTTTTGTTTGGAATCTAGCGTCCCAGCTAGATGTAACAAGTTTGGTTTCAGGCACTTAGTAGACGATTTTGAAAGAAACCATCAGGCAATCTGAGATTGCTAACAAGTTAGAAGATATAATAAGAACATGAATGGGTTTTTCATTCCTGTTTAGCTGTGGAAACAGCTGATGTGTATGAGGAATGTTTAAAAATAATATCTGATGCATCATTCAAAGGTTTTTCGGATTTTGACTAAAATAATTGTTAAATAAATATTTTAGTTTTAATAAAATGTTTTGTTTTCATTATTCTTTACAAAAGAATTCTTACTTTCTCGCCAATTACATTTACCTGATTGTAATATTTCTACAAAAATAAAAGGTTTTTGCGAAAGGTAAGTTATTTAAAACACAATTTATTTATTTTAATCATTATGTTCTATTTTTATTTCTTTGTTTATATAATCATATTTATTCTTAATTAAATTCAGTAATATTTTATACAGGTATTTGTACATACCTTATTAAATATGATCAATTTTCATAAAAACTCAATTTACATTTCTTTGATGCTACTCTTTACTTTTTCACCTCAGCAACTTGGCAATTTTTTTACAAATTTAATTATAGGCTGAATTTATATCTTATGGTACCCCAAAACGATACAAATTGTACCACATACATGTTTTTATAAATATGTGAAAATTTTCATAATATGAAGAAATTTCTAATTGTTAAGTTTTTTGCTTTTTCTAACAGCATTTTTTCCTCTAGTTTATTTTATCAATTCAAAGAAGCAAAAAACCTTTATATCAATATTCTTTGTTTTCTAAATTAGACATGATAAAATTTATTTGTTTTTAAGTCTGTTGGACTGTCAATGTAGATTTGTCCTGATAGATGTTAAATAGACATTAAATATGCTATCCTCTTCAGATTCTAAAATTATGACTGAAAAGCATAAGCTTTTTAAGTATATAGTACTTATAGAATATATAGTACTTTAGCATATAGTACTTTTTAAGTACTTATAGAGAGTGTCTTAGAGAGACTTAGCTTGAGCAATTCAATTTTTTTCTATTAAGAATTTCCTAATACTGTCCTGAATTCTGAAAACTCCTGAAGTCTTCAAAACATTCCAAGTTGTCGTCATATTTCAGAGCCTTACAGAACCTCAGAGAGAGAGATGGTATTAACCCTTTGATGCATTACTTTTTTCCATCTTTAAAAATTCAACTTTTTCATTGACACTGCTTTTCTATTGCAGAATTTGTTGATCCACAATTTGCAAAGCATTTAACCACCAAGTCTAAATACAAATAGTCACCCCAAGCAGATTTAGATCATTCCACTGTGTTAGCTATTGTGTTCTAATTAACTAATTCAGAAGCATTCATGCTGTCATTAACTTTTGCTATGATTGACTGTTGCGAATATCATTGGTATTCCAGCTTAAACCATTTGAAAATGCCTTGGTTCAAAAGATAAGTTATGGAGCTAGTGACAGAAAATAAAAATAACAATTTCACATTCTTGAACCTTCCAGGTGTTGAGCCTATGGGCAAAATTGGATTGAAATTGTTGTGCTATACACAACTTTTTCATCTAATAATGTAGAAAAAACTATGTTCTTTTATGTGTAGGAAAGCTGGCATCGAAAAGTTCATAAATAGATAAGATTAACTCTTGTAGGGTTAAATTATTTTTATGATAATGGTAGGTCATGTTTTCAAGAAGATTTTTTCTTTCTTTTCTGACCATCTTTTGATTAAAATCTGTTAGCCACACTTCCAAGATTTCAGCTGTTATCCAGGCTTTGCTATTTGACTTCCAATGAATTCGAATTTTATGATAATATCTTTATTTCTAAAAATCAGGGTTCTGAAAGTTATGTCCCTTTCTTGAACAACATTTTGTTTGGGGACCCCATCCCAACGTAAGGCATTTTAGGTTTTTTATTTTAAGATTTAATTTTTAAGTTAATATCATAATTAATACATTACAATAAATATCTGTTAAGGGTCATTCTCACTGAAAAGGTATAAATAGACTAAAAATTTTTCTTAAATTAAAGTAATTAAAAAAGGGATAAAAATTACATAAATGCCTTTATTTATTTTTGTTATATGTCCTTATAATAATGGTAAAGTTTTCTATTTTATTTTTTGCAAGATTTAAAATATTTTAAATTCTGTCTTGTCCACGGAGGAGATGTAATAGTCAACGGAGGAGACATTTTATGTTATAAAATATAAAATGTCAATGAAGACTAATTCATTAATTATTGGGTACAACTGATATGAGTTTAACATTAATAAGTAAATAATGAAATATTTCGTTATTAGAGATGAGCTACTTCCGATTAATCATGCTGCTATGAAGGGAAACATGCATTTTTAAACTAGGTGTGCAATTTTTTAAGTAACTCTTACTGAATATTAATAAATTAAAATATAAAGACTATTGAAATAAAAATTCAGACTCCATATGAAAGTTGAGTGTTGAGTGTTGTCATTTTATGCAAGTTAAACATACTGTCATCCAAATAACATTTTTGTTTTTTTCTTTGCTTCTTGTTATTGTTTCTTTTTTCCCTGGGCACAAACGGCTCGCTCTATCAATTTCTAGAAATTTAAGTACATTTTATCTCGATTTTTCTGTTAAATCTCTTTCTGATACAGATTTTAAAGTTTCATTATGGCATTTAGTAAGCACTTTGCCTGAAGTAATTTTTTTTACCTGATTCCGACACTTTCTAATAATTTTACCAGTCAATGCTTGTAATATTGTCTTTTTCACTTTGTGAGAGTTTTGGCTTTTAAAGTTAGATTGAATTTGTCTGCCAATAACTTTGGCAAATAACAATTTTCTAATCACATTAGAATTGATTCTTCTTTACTATTCATTTCTCTGCTGATTTTCCTTCTTGGTGATTCATTTTTCTTCTCTTTACTTCTCTGAAATCTGCTTAATTTTTTTTATATCTTTCAAGTCTAGTATTTAGTTTCTTGTTTTTCTCTTCTAATTCTTCTATCTTCTTTTTTAATTTATAACGGTTTTTTCTTACTGTTTTTTTTCCTCTTAAAACTCCAGAATTATTTTCTTCGACAATGTTACTATTATTCAATAGAGAAGATGAACTCGAAGTTGTATCTATGATTAATCCTTCAAATTCTACCTAACGTTTTCTTTGTTTACGATATTTTCTTGCTTTTTTTTCCAAACTTTTCTTATATTTCTTTCAAGTTCATTTATTTCTTGAACACTTATAATTTTTCCGCTGGCTTTTCTTTGGTGGTAATGCTCTCTCTCTTTTTTTTTTTTTACTTTCTTCAAACAATATAGGGTTTTCTTTTAATTTCTGTCTAGCTTGTCTCATACTAAGTTTTTTCTGTTCCCTTCTCTTTTGCATTTGAACATTTGATTGCTTCCTTTTTTTTACATTGTGGTTTTGCCATTTTTTTCCTAAAATTTGAAGAGAAAAAATTTTTTAAACATCATGGAAATTATTTAGAAAAATTGCCAATATTTAGTACTTCTCCGATAAGAAAAAGTTAAACTTAATTGATTTTCTTTGAAAATACAAAAAATTAACACATTTGTTCCATTTTAAAAAATATCAATTAAAAGAAAATAGTTTTTTAATAACTAAAATTGTATTATGGTTATCTAACACATTGTCTCTTCCATTGACTGTGTCTTCTCCTCTGTGGACTTGTTATGTCCACGGAGAGGAAGTGAATTCATTCAAAAATAAAAAAAACTTGCTATTTTTATCATATGAACAAATAGATTTATCAAAATAAATAAACATTGAAAAAAAGAAATATTTTTTCTTATCATATCAT